AGGGCAGTGTAACTTCCTCAGGAGGAAGGGCAGGGAACCTTCTGGACTCCAGAGGCCTCCACACACCCCATCCCTCCTCCTTGATGGTGTCCATCAAGACAATGTCCAGCCAGACGCAGTGTCCACACACCTAGCTACTCAGGACGCTGAGATCTGAGGGTTGTGGTTCAAAGCCAGCCTGGTTCAAGTGATAGCGCACCAACCTTGAACATGAAGACTCAGGGGTGGAGCCCGGACCCCAAGTTCAAACCCCAGCCCCCCATCCCACGCTCCATTTGTAAGTCACAGAGGCCCCAAATCGTGTCAACAAGATGGAGGCTTTGCCCCCAGCCAGCGGCTCTGAGGCTGGAGGTCCCCCCCTTCCTCTTCGCTGTCATTCGCTTGGCTTCCGTCTTCAGAGTCTCGTGACCTCAACACCGCTGAGAGACCCAGAACTCACAGCGTCTAGTTTGTTTTCTGAACAGAGCCAGGGTGGGGCCGTGTGTGTGTGTGTGTGTGTGTGTGTGTGTGTGTGTGTGTGTGTGTGCGCGCGCGCATGCGCATGCTGTGGGTGCTGTCTGAGGTCTCGTGGGACAGGGTCGCAGCAGTGTCACAGCCTGGGAGCCAGCGTCTTCCACCCCAGCCACACAGAATGAGGGGTGAGCGGGGACCCCAGTCTGTGGCCGGCAGAGCCCCCCCCCAACCAGCAGAACCCCGACTTAGAGGCCATCATCAACCCTTCTCCTCCTCCCACCCTGAAGAAATTCCCTTTCCATTCCTTTGCCTCTCTAATTACCAGACGCCATGAGGATGGAGATTTTTGCGGGCAATTAGGAAGTCCTCTGTCTGTTCCTGAAGCTCCTGCTGTCGCGCCCCCCCCCCCCCCCCACCGCCCCGTCTGGAGCCTTCCTCTAATTTGGAGCCACTTAGAAAAGACAAGCAAACTTTTAAAACCAGAAAGAATGCATCCCGGCTGCCTGCTGCCTGTTTTATAGCGGAGGCTGCCCGAGGCGCCGATTGGATTGCTTGCTAGCTTGCTTAGGAGGCAGCAGGATGTTCAAAGGGCCTGGGGCCACAGAGGATGGCTGTGGATTTCCTGACAGAGGGGAGCCAGCTGCCTACCCTAGGCCTGCAGCTCCTCCAAGGATCCTGGGACAGATTTCACAGCTGGGCCCTGGGATTTCACATGAGCAGGGTCATGCCACGAACCTGCCCCATCCATCCCCATCTCCCCCCACGCCACCCCCCTCCCCCAGCGCTCAGCCTCCCATACCCAAGGCCCAGGGGGTGGCACCCCGCTGTCCCCTCTGGGCCATGGCACTTTCTCTCAGCCCCCCATGAAAGTAGACCCTGGGAACCCGAGTTTGCGAGTCAGGTCTGGCTGCTCATTCTGATACCAAAGATCCGTGAACCAGCTGGGCACTGGTGCTCAAGCCTGTAAGCCCAGCTACTCAGGAGGCCGAGATCTGAGGATCACAGTTCAAAGCCAGCCAGGGCAGGAAACTCCGTGAGACTCTTACCTCCAAGAAACCAATAGAAAACCAGAAGTGGTGCTGTGGCTCAAGTGGTAGAGTGCTAGCCTTGCATGCATGAGGCCCTGGGTTCGATTCCTCAGCACCACATAAGCAAAAAGAAAAAAAGCCGGGAGTGATTTTGTGGCTCAAGTGGTAGAGCACTAGCCTTGAGTGAAGAGCTGAGGGACAGCGCCCAGGCCCAGAGTTCAAGCCCCAGTAATGATACACACGCACACACACACACACACACACACACACACACACACAATGACAAGAGAATTATTACATGGTAGCCACAGGAAGATGGCGGTGAAGACACAGCAGCCATCTTCTGGGGCTGAGTGTCTTCTAGACAGAACGGGGCGGGGGGAGGGGGGACGCTGTCATTGGCCGTGGCTGGCAGGGTGCCCACTCCGTCTTCCTGTGGTGTTGGGGTTCAGGACACATAAGCCCGCCGTCCTGGCACTCCATCCAGAGCCTCCGTGTCCCTCGGGCTCCGTCCAACTCTGCGGTGCCTCCTGTAATCCCTGCAGCCCAGGGCCAGCCGGAAGGCGGGGGGTGGGGGGGGAGCCTCAGGACGCCCCCCTGTGGCCCCCCACGGGCAGCATGGCAGGCCCGGTCCCGCTCCCTGGTTGCTCAGGGCGGCCACAGGGGCTAGACGGGGCGATTTGTAGCTAGAGATGGCATGGGGCAGGGGTACAGGGACCCCGAGTGTTTGTGTGGATGGAACTTTCCAGAAGCCTCCTCTGGAACCACTAAAAAGAGCCCCCTGGGAGCAGTGGGGGAGGGAGGACCACCCTGTGCCTCGGTTTCCCCTCCTGGACACGTGGTGCCAATGGCTTTGGTGTGGCTGCTCTCGTTCCGGGCTTGGGCTGGAGGCCGGGCTGGGGACAGCTAAGCCCTGGAGGCCAGGCCCCGGCCTCCAGCCCTGGCAGCCGGTCAGTACGGGGGCCAGCAGCGCCTGCCAGCACGGCCAGGTGGCCCAGGGCCACCTTTGAAGCCAGGCCGGGGCAGCACGGGGCACATGGCACACGGGCGGTGCCCAGGGCAGGTGCGGCTCGGTGGGCGCATCAGCGGCCGGAGATCCCCGGCTGCGGCCCGAGGGCGGAGGCCGCGCCTTCCACCCTCCCGCGGCCACATCATCTGAAGTTCTGTGTTTGTGCTCAACCCTTTTCATTTGCTGGTTTGTTGGTTTGTGGTTTGTTGGTTCGTTTGTTTGTTGCTAGTCCTGGGGCTTGAACTCACGGCCTGGGCGCTGTCTCAGAGCTTCTTTGCTCAAGGCTAGCACCCTACCACTAAGCCGCATTCCCAGCCCTGGTTTCAGTGCTCAGGATGGGCTTGGGGTGGCGTTCCTCCTACCTCAGCCTCCTGAGGGCTGGGGTTACAGGCACGCCCCGCCGTGCCTGGCCTTACCTGGTAACTTTGGGGGGGGGGGGAGGACAGGGGACCCAGGCTGGCAACAATAATGATGGCATTCTGAAATTCTGGGCAAGGCATGTGATCTGTCCTCACGTCTTCCTGTCTGGGATGGGCTGGCAGCAGAGGGCAAAACTCCAGGAAAAATAGAAAGTCACACTGATATTCACAAACCATACCAGCTACCTGCTGCCATGTGTCATCACCTCTAGCCAAGTGCAGACACCCATGCCTGTAATCCCAGCCACTCTGGAGGCTGAGATCTGAGGGTCACAGTTCAAAGTCAGCCAGGGCAAGAAAGTCCACGAGACTCCAATTAACCACCAGAAAACCTGAAGTGGTGCTATGGAAGGGTGCAAGTGTCCTGAGTTTGAGCCCTGGGACACACGTTCACACACACACACACACACACACACACACACACACACACACACACACACAGGGCCATCTAGGAGATCATGGGAAGCGGTGGGAGGGTGTATGCAAAATATATGCAAATCCCATGCTAATTGCACCAGGCTCCCCGTGGCTCCCAGCTGGCACCAGGACCTCTGACCTTGACTGTCCTCCAGCCCTGCTGAGCCAGGCCCTGAGCTCCCGGAGATCTCCCGGCTTAGGTGGTGGCCGGATCCACCCGTGGGCTTTGGCCAAGGATCACAGAGCCCCCACGTCCTACCCCCATGCCTGTGCCAGGGACGCCCTAGGAGCACTATTTAAGGAGCCCCCTCGGGCCCCCTCCAGCCCTGCTGAGACACAGCACGACGGTCAGAGCATGGTAGGCTGCTGGGGGCAGCGCCGGGCCTGGTCCCCGGCGCGGAAGCCATGTCTTTTGGCTGAGGCGGGCATTCTCTTGGCTTTACAAATGGGGAAACTGAGACCCCCATGGAGGTAGACAGCAGGCAGCAAGGCTGGTGAGAGCCAGGCTTGGCGCTTCCCACTCCCTGGCTTGTGTCTTTGAAGGGGGGATCTCTATTCCTCATGACGCGGATGGCAGCAAGGGCTGGTCAGACCCAAGCGGCACGGCTGCGCCCCAGGCCTCGGTGCCCGGTCTGGGCCGGCCCTGGCCAGCCCTGCACATCTCACAGTGGGGTGACCTGCGATGGGCAAAGCTGGGGTCGGGAACGGGGGGTGGGGCCTTGGGGAGCAGGAGGATGGGGCCCAAGCAGAGGGCCAGTCTGGAGTGGCAAAATGTCTCCCAGACAGAAGCACTTTTCTTTTTGACATCACCAGTGTTTGAACTCAAGGCCTCAGGCTTTCTCAAGCCTGGTGCTCTTCCACTTGAACCTCACCTCCAGTATGGTTTTTTTTTTTTGCTAGTTCATTGGAGATTTTTTTTGGCAGGGGGGTCCGGTCGTGGGGCCTGAACTCTGGGCCTGGGCGCTGTCCCTCAGCTCTTCAGCTCAAGGCTAGCGCTCTACCACTTGAGCCACAGCGCCACTTCCGGCTTTTTTCTTTTTGCTTATGTGGTGCTGAGGAATTGAACCCAGGGCCTCAGGCATGCAAGGCAAGCGCTCTACCACTGAGCCACCTTCCCAGCCCCTTCATTGCAGATTTCTTTATTTTAAAAAAAAGGCCCATACTTTTCGGCCTTGGCTGCCTGTAGACTACAGTCCTCCAGATCTCAGCCTCCTGAGTAGCTAGGATTACAGGCGTGAGCTGCCGCAGCTGGCAATCATGGTTCGTTAGCCAGGAGGAACTGTCTGTATACGTAGCTGGGCGAGCTGTGTAGGGGACATCTTTATGATGTCTGAGGGGATCACTGGGCACTGTCAGCGGCTTCACGGCCGACTGGCCAGGCCCCTTTAGAAGAAGCCAGGAAAGCGGGTGAGCCATGGGCTGGATCCGCTGTTCCTGATGCAGCTCCGGCCACACGAGGCGGGCTGAGCCTCGGGGCCTGGCTCGCGGGCTGGAGGAGCCCTGTGCGGGAGTCCCGGGCAATGCCCAGTTTCCAGCTGTGCCTGGAGAAGGCCGTGAGGCTCCAGGAGGGCCTGACTGGGGGGGTGGGTCCCCCCGGGAGCAGGGGTTCCACGGCCTCTCCCGTGTCCACAGGCGCCCAGGAGAGCCCGGAAGAGGGTGGACGGAGCTGCCGGCTCCAACGTCTTCTCCATGTTTGACCAGTCCCAGATCCAGGAGTTCAAGGAGGTGGGGTCCGCCCCGCTCCTGCATGGCCACTCGGGGAGTTGGGGGGGGCTCACACCCCATGTGTCAGGGAAGTTGGGGTCCCTGGGCCCCGCGGGCCTGGGCAGTCCCCTCCCCATTGTCTCTGAGGCCACACTCACTGTGTGGCCTCTGGCAAGCCCTTTCTCTCTCAGGGCCTCAGTTTCCCTGTGTGTAAATGGGGTGCTGGGGACCAGAAGGAGGGGATGGATCTGGCCGTGCACCTGTGCAGTGAGAGCCCACTGGGCTGGGCAGTGGGAGTCAGGGGCCCCCGGGCCGGGGTCACCCTGCCACTGTCCCGCCAGGCCTTCACCATCATGGACCAGAACCGGGATGGCTTCATCGATAAGGAAGACCTGCGCGACACCTTTGCCGCCCTGGGTGGGTGACAGTGGGGACTTGGGGTGCACGGGGGGGGGGTCCTAGAGCTGGGCTGAGGCTGCCCTGGGAGACGGGGTGGGCAAGGAGGGGCACCACCCCATGTCGCGGGTTCCTGGGCCTGCCAGGCGATGTCAGGGGCCGCAGCAAGCTTGTACAAAGGTCCAGGGGTGCAAAGGTGTACTTATAGCCCCAGAGGGAGTCTGGGGGGCTGTAGGGAGCCCCAGGGGTGGCTGCCAGCTCCCCGGGGTCCCCCCCCCTCCTTCAGACCCTGACTTCCCGCAGGCCGCATCAACGTGAAGAACGAGGAGCTGGAGGTGATGGTGAGGGAAGCGCCCGGGCCCATCAACTTCACCGTGTTCCTCACCATGTTTGGGGAGAAGCTGAAAGGTGAGAGGTCACAGCCCCACTGCCCGGGAGGCAGAGAGGAGGGGACCGTGTTCGAGGCCAGCCTGGACAGGAAAGTCCAGGAGACTTTTTTTGTGTTTTGGCCAGTCCTGGGCCTGACCTCTGGGCCTGGGCGCTGTCCCTGCGCTCTTCAGCTCAAGGCGAGCGCTCTACCGCGGGAGCCACGGCGCCACTTCTGGTTTTCTAGTGAGATAGGAGTCTCACGGACTTTCCTGCCCGGGCTGGCTTTGAACCACGATCCTCAGATCTCAGCCTCCTGAGTAGCTAGGATTATAGGTGTGAGCCACCAGTGCCTGGCTTTGGGGAGAACTTTTAGGGTTCAGGGAGGGGCGCCCCTCTGGCAGGTGGGGGTGAGGCCAAGGTGCCAGGTCCCTCAGTGGCCATGTTGGGGTGACCTGCACCCCCTTCCCCAGCTGGCCACAGCTTTTCTCCTTTGGGCCCAGCCCGAGGCTGCGGGAGAAAGCAGGGCGGAGGCCTGTGACCTGCCTTGTGCTGTCCCACTAACTGGGACTGGGAGGAGGACATGTTTGGGGGTGAGTCCCCACTAGCGCAGCAGCCGGCTGTGGGGCTGTTTTATGAGGCCCCGGGGGGAGATGGGGGGGGGTGGCGTGCCCAGTTCCGCGCCCCCCCCCAGCTGCCCAAGCAGCCAGCTCGAGTCCCGTCAGGAGGCGCTGTGGGTGGACGGGAGCGGGGGAGCATCCTCTCCCCTCCCCCGCCCCCCCTCCAATCTCCCACCCAGCTGTGAGTGCCTGTCATTCCGGCTTGGGCCATGGGGCACAGTTTGGGTCCTGCGTGAGCCTCAAGGCTGCCCTGCCAAGACCCCACTATCCATGGAACCCCCAGACCCGTCCCTTAAGCCTCCCGGGCCTAGGAAGAGTGAACAGGCTCCGTGTGTGGATGTTACTTGCTTCCAGCTGTGATGGGGGGTCCTGGCCGTGGGTGGGCTTGGCCCTGGGTGGGGGGCCGGGGCGGTGGGGGTCCTGGCCCGGCCTCCCGGGAGCCTGAGCCCCCCGCCCGCCTCGCCGGCGCCTCATCGCAGGCACGGACCCCGAGGAGACCATCCTCCATGCCTTCAAGGTGTTCGACACGGAGGGCAAAGGCTTCGTCAAGGCTGACTTGTGAGTTGTGAGCACCCCGCGGGTTGTGCGGTGGGGGGGTGCAGGGAGGAGGCTGGAGATGGGCTGGGGTGAGGCTGGCATGGGGGGCCGCACCCCAGTTCCGGTGTGCATGGGGAGCGAAGGACACAGGCCAGAGACCATCCTGGAGCAGGTGAGGAGGAGCGGGAGGGGCCGGTGGGGGTAGAGGAGGAGGCGGGGGGGGGGGGACACCCCCAGCAGATGCAGCCCAGCCCCCCACTTCTCTCCCCTACCACAAGCCCAGTGTGCTTCAGGCATGGAGGCTTTTGGGGTGCTTCTCTTAGCTGAGTCCCCACCCAAGGGAGGGCAGAGAGAAGAGGGGAGGAGGTTCCCCCACCTCTGAGATGCCCCCATCTTTTCCAAGACAGGCTCGGGGGGTGCAGGCATGCTGCAAGGAGTCTCTGGCTGCCCCCCGGGGGTCTGCAGCCCCTTCCTGTGCCCTGGCATCCTGGGGGAGTCCCGGGGGCACCCCGTGCAGGCCTCAGCGCTGTGTGGGCTGCTGCTGGCCCAGGCCGGGCACGGGGGGCCGTGGAGCCCTGGAAACACTGAGTGTCCGCAGCCACGGACACCATGGAAAATGTGCGTCGTGCCAGACACAGCCTGCCCCCCCACGCAGCCCCGAGCTGTGTGCCCAGAGCGTCTTCTAGAATGCCAGCATCACCCGCTGGAGGTGGCCGGGCCCAGGACAGGATGGGATCCCCCGGGGCCCCCCGAGATTGAGTACAAACAGGGCACCCCGACCCGAGGCCCCAAGGTCACACATGGATCTCAGCGGGTGACAGGAGAGTCTGTGGCTCGCTAAGCCTTGAGGGGGGCTGGAGGTGGCAGCCCCGGGTGAGAGGCCCCCTGATGTCCCCAGAATCCACACAGTGCGGGGGACCCCAGAATCCACACAGTGCGGGGGACCCCAGAATCCACACGGTGCGGGGGACCCTCCCTGAGTGTGGCCGTCTCCCCATGACAGCATCAAGGAGAAGCTCATGACGCAGGCCGACCGCTTCAGCGAGGAGGAGGTGAGGCCAGTACTGGAGTCCAGCCAGGGTCCCCCTAGTGTACCCCGGCTCCCCCAGCCCCCTTGACCCCTGACTCCCGCCTCTCCCACAGGCCAAGCAGATGTTTGCGGCGTTCCCGCCCGACGCCTACGGCAATCTGGATTACAGAAACCTGTGCTACGTCATCACGCATGGGGAAGAAAAGGACTAGGGGCCGGGGGCTCCGGGGCAGATGGCCGGGACCCCGGACTGCAGAGCAGGGGAAAAAATAGCCCATGCCGCCCTGGGGAGGGGGAGCAGGAGGACACCAGAATAAAGGTGGCGGGAGCTGAGTTTGCGTGATTCATGGCATAATTACAGACGCCAGGCATTCCTGCGGTGACTCGGGGTCCTTGGTGTCGCCCCAATGTGCCTGGCACATCTGAGCTCATCGCGAGCTCTAATGATCGCCAGCTGGGCCGCCGGGCATTGACCTCATTGCTGAGGGTTTTATTGAGCACCTAGTGTGTCCAGGAGCCTGAGCCAGGCCCACCAGGCTGAGGCCGGGGAGACGGCGGGGAGGGGCAGAGTCGTGGGGGGTTGGGGGGGGACAGGGCACTGGGGGACAGTGAGGACAGGGGGAGGGCGGGTTCCGGGGGGGGGTTGAAGGGAAGGCGGGGACTTGTGTGCCACCAGACCAAACGTGGGAGAGGGAAAAACGGGGCTTGGTCATAATGAAAACCTTGTGTCCATCAAAAGAAGCCATTAAGCGCATGGAGAGTCGGAGGCCGCCGAGGCGGGAGCTGGGACCCCGCCCGGCCCCCGAGGCCAGAGGAGATGCGCAAGCAAAGCCTGCACGCCAGCCACTGCACGCAGGGCACCCCAGCCCACACCTGTCATCAGGAAGCTGAGGCCCTAGGATCAAAGTTCAAAGCCAGCCCAGGCAGGAAAGCCCCTGAGACTTTTTGTTTTTGTTTTATTTTGGGTCTGGTCGTGGGCCTGAACTCTGGGCCTGGGCGCTGCCCCTCAGCTCTTCAGCTCAAGGCTAGCGCTCTACCACTTGAGCCACAGCGCCACTTCCGGCTTTTTTTTTTCTTTTTGCTTATGTGGTGCTGGGGAATCGAACCCAAGGCCTCATGCATGCAAGGCAAGTGCTCTACCACTGAGCCACCTTCCCAGCTCCTCTCTGAGACTTTTTGTTGTTGCTGGTTGTGGGGCTTGAACTCTGGGCCTGGGCGCTGTCCCTGTGCTCTTCAGCTCAAAGCAAGTGCTCTACCGCTTGAGCCACAGCACCACTTCTGGTTTTTTAGTGGTTTATTGGAGATAAGAGTCTCATGGACTTTCCTGCTCGGGCTGGCTTTGAACCATGATCCTCAGAACTCAGCCTCCTGAGTAGCTAGGATTACAGGCATGAGCCACCAGCGCCCAGCTTCCCTGAGACTCTTACCTCCAATGAATGAACTAGCAAAAAAAAAAAAAAAAAAAAAACAGAGGTGTGGCTCAAGGTAGAGTGCCAGGCTCAAGTGGAAAAGCCAGGGGCATGTGCACACACACAGGAGATACCTGAAAACAAATTGGCAGACAGGCACACAGACAGATGGACAGAGGGGCAGGCAGACTTCATGGCCTGGCACAAACACAAGCTGAGGTGATTATCTGGAAATCAAACTCTGGGTGACTCAGTGCCTGCCCAGGACCAAGATCCTCCTCAAAGGCTGAGATTACAGCTGTGCGCCACTACACCCAGCTTGACCTTGGGTGGAGATAAGGTCTCACCGTAAGCCCCGTGTGGGACCTGTTGCTGGGTCCCTGGGGGCACTCGGCTCCTTGGGAGGGTGCAGAGTCTCGTGGAGAAGGGCTGTGTCCTGCCCTCCTGGGGCCCAGGCGTCTGGGTGCCAGGGGGAGCGGCCAGTGGGCACAAGCAGGCGCTAATCTGAGGCTGAGCCTCAAAGATGGTGTCTGGCTCCCACCACACCTGCGAAATGCTGCACCCAGAGGCCAGGGAAAGCAGGCCACGTGAGCTCTGGCTTACTGTGAGAGCGGTGTGATTGTGTGCATGTACACGTGTGTGTCTGTGTGTGTCTGTGTGCGTGTGTGCGCGTGCACAGCCACAGCACTACTTCCGGTTTTTTGTTAGTTAATTGAAGATCAAGAGTCTCCCGGACTTTCCTGCCTCGGCTGGATTTGAACCTCCATCCGCAGATCTCAGTCTCCTGAGTAGCTGGGATTACAGGCGTAAGCACTGGACTCCAGCTGAGACGGGGTGATCTTTAGGCCGCTTACTGATCCGTCTGGGGCCCCAGGGTCTGCAGACCATGAGGGTGGACACTGGGCCATGGCTGCGGGTTCGGGTTGGCACTGGCTGGGCGAGGCTGGGGTGCCATGCCGCATTTGCAACCCTGCAGCGCCATCTGCTGACGGACATGTGCATTGCCCGCCACCCTGGTTTCCTATTATATTACATTTAAACATTTAAAAACAGCGGAAAACGTGTATTGCAGCCCCTGAGGGCCCTGGCCACGTGTCCACACTGTGCCGCTGCAGCCGCACCCCTCCACTGTCCTCCGTGCCCCCCTCCCGCCCCCCCCCCCACTGTCCTCCTCCCAGGAGGACCTGGGACGTCTACACACCCGGCCCCACCGCTCCCGTTCCTCACCGCGGCCTTTCCCAGGTCTACAAGAACTGGGCGGCGCTCCTGTCTCCCCCCAACCTCCAACCTGGGGTCAGGTCCCCCTCCACCTGGGAGAGGGCCAAGCAGGCGGGAGAGCCCAGCCGCAGATCCTTCTACCTCCACCTCTGCATGGCGGGGATTACAGGTGGAGGCTGCATCACCCAGCTTACTTGTTAGGATCTCTAACACGTTTTTGCTCGCGTTCTTGCCTGTGTCTGCCTTGGCCCTCAGCTCTGCTGCTCTCACCGGCTGAGTGGCTGGGGTGACAGCTCAGGGTGCGTGCTGCCGGACCCCGGGGGCAGGAAGGGCTCCGGCAGGGGCTGAGGAGGCTCGGGGTGCCATCCTGCCTTCATTTTCACAGGGAGCTCTGGGTCCAGAGGGCAGAACGATGGCACGGGGCTGCAGCCCAGCCCGGCAGAGGTGGGCAGCCTGGGCCTTCCGCTCAGGACGCTGGAGGGCCGCCCCCTCGTCAGGGGAGACGTGTGGCAGGTGCTAAGCAGCTGCTTCTTGCAGGCTGTCCAGGCACTTGATTTGCGGCTCCTTGAGTCCAGGGCGGAGGTTTGGAATGCAGCTGCGGGCCCATGTCCCAGTTCAACAGCTCTGAGCCGTGGGGACCGGGTTTTCTCAGCAGTCCACGCCCAGGGGCGCGGCGGGGGCGCCTCCAGGGGCCCTGCTGGGCTCCTGCCGCAAATGTCCCGGCCTGCCTGCTAGGGGAGGTCAGGGAGAAGGGAGGCGGGGCGTCCTGTTGGCAGGCCTGGGCTCCACCTCTCCTGCCTCTCCTCAACCCACAAGGGCTTCTGCCCCCTGAACCCCAACCCAGACCTGACATACAGCAGAACCCAGCGACCGCCATTAAACACGCGGTGGTAGGGAGCAGGAGAGGACAGACAGGCAGACGATGGATGGGCGGCAAGTGGAAGGTGGTGGGCAGGTGGGTGGAAGGAAATGTGGATGATGGATGATGATTGAGCAGGCTAAACGATGCCGAGCGGATGCTCCATGAATAATGGACAGACGTGGTGGATAATTGTTGTGGGATGACTGAGTGGGTGGGTGGAAGGAGGATGGACAGATGGACAGATGAATGGATGATGGATGGATGATAGGTGGATGGATAGAGGGAGGAGGATGGAGGGTGGAGGATGGAGGGTGGAGGATGGAGGGTGGAGGATGGAGGGTGGAGGATGGAGGATGGAGGGGTGGAGGGGTGGAGGATGGAGGGTGGAGGATGGAGGGTGGAGGATGGAGGGTGGAGGATGGAGGATGGAGGATGGAGGGTGGAGGATGGAGGGTGGAGGATGGAGGGTGGAGGGAGGAGGATGGAAGGTGGAGGATGGAGGGTGGAGGGAGGAGGATGGAAGGTGGAGGATGGAGGGTGGAGGATGGAGGGTGGAGGATGGAGGGTGGAGGGAGGAGGATGGAAGGTGGAGGATGGAGGGTGGAGGGAGGAGGATGGAAGGTGGAGGGTGGAGGGAGGAGGATGGAAGGTGGAGGATGGAGGGTGGAGGGAGGAGGATGGAAGGTGGAGGATGGAGGGTGGAGGATGGAGGGTCGAGGATGGAGGATGGAGGTTGGAGGATGGAGGGAGGAGGGTGGAGGGTGGAGGGTAGAGGTTGGAGGGAGGATGGAGGATGGAGGATGGAGGGGTGGAGGGTGGAGGGGTGGAGGGTGGAGGATGGAGGGAGGAGGATGGAGGGTGGAGGGAGGAGGATGGAGGGTGGAGGGAGGAGGATGGAAGGTGGAGGGTAGAGGTTGGAGGGAGGATGAAGGGTGGAGGAGGATGGAGGGGTGGAGGGTAGAGGTTGGAGGGAGGATGGAGGGTGGAGGGTGGAGGTTGGAGGATGGAGGATGGAGGGTGGAGGGGTGGAGGGTGGAGGATGGAGGATGGAGGGTGGAGGTTGGAGGGAGGATGGAGGATGGAGGGTGGAGGGTGGAGGGGTGGAGGGGTGGAGGGTGGAGGATGGAGGATGGAGGGTGGAGGGGTGGAGGGTGGAGGTTGGAGGGAGGATGGAGGGTGGAGGGTGGAGGGTGGAGGATGGAGGGGTGGAGGGGTGGAGGGTGGAGGTTGGAGGGAGGATGGAGGATGGAGGGTGGAGGGTGGAGGTTGGAGGGAGGATGGAGGATGGAGGGTGGAGGGTGGAGGTTGGAGGGAGGATGGAGGATGGAGGGTGGAGGGTGGAGGGGTGGAGGGGTGGAGGGTGGAGGATGGAGGATGGAGGGGTGGAGGGGTGGAGGGTGGAGGTTGGAGGGAGGATGGAGGATGGAGGGTGGAGGGTGGAGGGTGGAGGGTGGAGGTTGGATGGAGGGTGGAGGGTGGAGGGTGGAGGTTGGAGGGAGGGTGGAGGGGTGGAGGGTGGAGGGGTGGAGGGAGGATGGAGGGGTGGAGGGTGGAGGTTGGAGGGGTGGAGGGTGGAGGGATGGAGGGTGGAGGGGTGGAGGGTGGAGGGGTGGAGGGAGGATGGAGGGTGGAGGGTGGAGGTTGGAGGGAGGATGGAGGATGGAGGGTGGAGGGTGGAGGGGTGGAGGGTGGAGGGAGGGTGGAGGGGTGGAGTGTGGAGGTTGGAGGGAGGATGGAGGATGGAGGATGGAGGGGTGGAGGGTGGAGGGGTGGAGGGTGGAGGTTGGAGGGAGGATGGAGGGTGGAGGGTGGAGGGTGGAGGGTGGAGGGTGGAGGGTGGATGGAGGGTGGAGGGTGGAGGGTGGAAGGAGGGTGGAGGGGTGGAGGGTGGAGGTTGGAGGGAGGATGGAGGATGGAGGATGGAGGGGTGGAGGGTGGAGGGGTGGAGGGTGGAGGTTGGAGGGAGGATGGAGGGTGGAGGGTGGAGGGGTGGAGGGTGGCGGGGTGGAGGGTGGAGGGAGGAGGGTGGAGGGTGTAGGGTAGAGGTTGGAGGGAGGATGGAGGATGGAGGATGGAGGAGTGGAGGGTGGAGGGTTGAGGGTGGAGGTTGGATGGAGGGTGGAGGGGTGGAGGGTGGAGGTTGGAGGGAGGGTGGAGGGAGGAGGGTGGAGGGTGTAGGGTAGAGGTTGGAGGGAGGATGGAGGATGGAGGATGGAGGAGTGGAGGGTGGAGGGTTGAGGGTGGAGGTTGGATGGAGGGTGGAGGGGTGGAGGGTGGAGGTTGGAGGGAGGGTGGAGGGAGGAGGATGGAGGGTGGAGGGTAGAGGTTGGAGGGAGGATGGAGTATGGAGGGGTGGAGGGTGGAGGGTTGAGGGTGGAGGTTGGATGGAGGGTGGAGGGGTGGAGGGTGGAGGTTGGAGGGAGGGTGGAGGGAGGAGGATGGAGGGTGGAGGGTAGAGGTTGGAGGGAGGATGGAGGATGGAGGAGTGGAGGGTGGAGGGTTGAGGGTGGAGGTTGGATGGAGGGTGGAGGGGTGGAGGGTGGAGGTTGGAGGGAGGGTGGAGGGAGGAGGGTGGAGGGTGTAGGGTAGAGGTTGGAGGGAGGATGGAGGATGGAGGAGTGGAGGGTGGAGGGTTGAGGGTGGAGGTTGGATGGAGGGTGGAGGGGTGGAGGGTGGAGGTTGGAGGGAGGGTGGAGGGAGGAGGATGGAGGGTGGAGGGTAGAGGTTGGAGGGAGGATGGAGTATGGAGGGGTGGAGGGTGGAGGGAGGAGGGTGGAAGGTGGAGGGTGGAGGTTGGAGGGAGGATGGAGGATGGAGGATGGAGGGGTGGAGGGTGGAGGGGTGGAGGGTGGAGGTTGGAGGGAGGATGGAGGGTGGAGGGTGGAGGGGTGGAGGGTGGCGGGGTGGAGGGTGGAGGGAGGAGGGTGGAAGGTGGAGGGTAGAGGTTGGAGGGAGGATGGAGGATGGAGGATGGAGGGGTGGAGGGTGGAGGGGTGGAGGGAGGGCGCTTGGACTTTCACTACCCAGGTGAGGCATCCTTGGCTCCGGCCTGTGAAGCTTCCCATGTGTGTTTTGGGGTGTGTATGTGAAGGGGGGACGGGGCCGCAATAATCCCATTGGAGTGGAGGCTCATGGAGGCCAAGCCGCTCGTGCTTGTGTCAGCTCACAGCGTGGGCTCCCGGCGTGGATTCCAGGGGGCGCTGGGCGTGTGGGGAGCTGGAGTGCAGCAGGAGCGGCTTCCTCCCAGGCCCGGTGCAGCAGGCCCAGCCTCACTCACGCCCAGCGCCGAGCCGAGACTCTGGGGTGCGGCTGCGCCCTCAGCCGCTGTGCAGCAGCCCAGCCGGGCCGGGGAGCCGCCAGGGCACCCTCAATCCTCACAAGGCTAGAAGGAAAACACCAGCTTCAGGCAGAGGCGGGCCCAGCTGGGGCGGAGGAACACATGTGTACCCCAAGCTCCTCCTGAAGGAAGCTGGAAGGGGAGGGAGGGACAGAGGGGGGATGGAGGGGGGACGGAGGGGAGAGCCTTCATAACTCCTGCTCAGAAAATGGCTCAAGGCCTGGCCAGCCAGAGAATATTCCAGAACTCCCTGCCTGGCATTCGGCTTCAGGCGCCCCCATGACCTGCTGTGAGTCAGGCAGGGGTGAAGTCGGGGTGCGGGGCGGGGCAGGGCTATGTGTGGGGGAGTCGGGTCAAACCTGGGGTCCCACTGGGCACTGGTGGCTGCCGGTCATGCTAGCTACTCCAGAGGCTGACATCTGAGGATCGTGGTTCAAAGTCAGCCGGGCAGGAAGTCTGCGAGACTCATCTCCAGTAAAACACCAGAAAACCCGGAGGGCGCTCGCCTTGAGCTGAAGAGCGCGGGACAGCGCCCAGGCCCCGAGTTCAAGCCCCACGACCGACCAAAAATAAAACACCCCTGGGAACCAACCCTCCCTCCTCACCCCATGGCAGGCCCGGCGCTGCGGGGCTGGGTTGGCCATGCTGGGCAGCCCTTACTCTACTGGGTTCTTATCAGACTACTGGACTTGGGGTCCCCCTCCCGTTCCCAGCAGGCAGTGTGAGGCCACCGTGTCCTCCCCCACAGCCACACCCCCAAAAACAGATTCCAGTGGGGGAGCACCTTTATTGTCAGATACAGTGACGTCGCCACCAGGCTGCGGGGGGGCGGTGGCCAGTGGGGGGGCCAGGACCGGCCTGGGGTGGGAGGGGGCAAGGGAGACACCCCAGGAACCCCAGCACCTTCCGCTCCAAGTCCCCAGGTCTGGCCACAAGGAGGAAGCACCAAGGCCAGGTAGGGGGCAGAGGGGGGTCCCGGAGGTGCCCCCTGCCTGAGATGGGGTGGGGGGTGGGAGACCCCATGACCGAGGGCCCCCCTGGGGGCTGGGGGCAGCCGTGTCAGGGCCAGGCAGTTTCAGGTGGATTGCACCCTGAAGCCCCCCACCCCGTTGGTCTCCGAGTCCATGGAGTCCCTGGGGGAATTCATGGGGACCCCAGCACGGAGAGCCGATCTCAGGCCCAGGGCCATGGGCTGAGGATGGGGGGCTGAGGATGGGTGGACCCCAAGTGTCCACTGTGCAGGACCGGCCTGTTCCCCCCCACCGCCCGGCCCCGGGGTGTCATCCTCATGAAGAGGGGGCCCCACGGGCGGGAACCCCACTTCCAGCTTTGGCAGCTGAGAGGTCTGCATTCAAATCCTACCCGCGCTGCCGTTTGGGGGTGCACGGCAGGCCCGCCTCTGACGGGTTACATGTGGGACAGCAGGGGGGCCCACGGGCCAGACCCCTGCCTGGCCCAGGGTCCCCAACAGGCCAGGCGTCCAGCGGGAGTGGGGGGCAGGGGACCCCGGTGCTCACCGCCGGCCCGGCCGGGCGCTGCCCGGCCCAGGGTCGGGGCCCAGCAGTCCCGCCAGGCCGCCGCCCCGCTTCATCTTGAGGCTGGCTCTGAGCGCCGCGTCCTGGCCAGAGCCGCCTTCTGGGGAGGCCAGGGGGTCTGGAAGGAGAGAGAGAGGGTGAGCACTGGGCAGCCGTGGGGCACCCCGAGGCACACGGTGTGCCAAGCTCCTGCTCAGGGAGGAGACCAGACCGCCTCCCCATCCATCCATCCATCATTCATTCATCCATGCAATCATTCATTCCTCCATCCATCCATGCAATCATTCATTCATCTCATCACCCATGCATTCCTGTCTCCCAGGGTCCTCGCATGTGTGTGTGTGGGGGGGCAGGTCAGATGGGTGTGGTGGGGAGACTGAGGCAGGGGTGGGGAGGGGCCGGCGGGTCTCACCGTGGACGCCGATCATGTGCTCCAGGATGAGCACCCGCTCCGCCAGGATCTTCAGAGCCTCCCGGAGCTGCTGCACGCCCTCGCCCTGGGAAGGGGAGGGGCCGGGTGGGCGCTGGGCCTGCGCCCCCCACCTCTGCGGCCCCCCAGCTCCAGCAGCCCCCCACGCCTGTACCCCCCCAGCCCCAGCAGCCCCAGGCGCAGGAAGCCAGGAAGGCCGGGAGCCATTACCTCTGCAGCGCCGCCCTTGTCCCCCTCATCCGCCTTGGCGCTGGGCTCCCCCTAAAGGCGAGGGAGTGCATGTAAGCACGCGCAGGATGGGGGGGTCCCCAGCCCTGACTGCACGGCTCAGGCCGGAGCCGCCCCGGAAGTCCTCAGAGCGCTCCTGCGGCCCGAGTTCACATCCCGGCTTTGCCACTGCTCTGCTGGGCTGCTGTGGCTCGCAACCGACCCTCTCTGGGCCCCAGCTCGGCGCTGTCTTCCAGCGCGTTGCAGGTGCTTGGCAGAAATCACCCCCACTTTGTTGGGGCACAAAGGGGGGCTGCCTGCCCTCCTGGACGCAGAGATAGGAGCCCCGAACCCCGACCCCGGCCTCTCCATGTGTGGGGGTGGGGAGCCTCTGCGTGGTCTTTGTTTCCAGCCCCCCTCCTTCCACCCACACCAGCCAGCCAGGAGGGGTGGATACAAGAGCATTATGGGATTGCCCCCCAAACCCACTCAGTCTGCCCCCCTCCCTGTGACAGAAACCCACACTGGGGTCCCCAAGTGAAGCCCAGCCCACCTCGCCTCTCCCCCTCCCTTCCCAGCTTCCGGCCAGCTGTGCGCTGCCTCAGACCCTTTGCACCTGCTGGTCCCTCTATCTGATTGGATGGCCCCGGGGCAGGGAGGGGGGCGCGCCTCCCTGCCCCACCCCCTCCCACGTGCCCACCCCAGTCCAGTGCCCCCATCCCTGCCCACCCCACACCAGGTCCTCACCTGTGGTCCAGGTGCTCCTGGGGGGCCCGGTGGACCTAAGGGCAGTCAGCGGCGGTCACGTGGGCCAGCACAGCCCATTGTCCGCCCCTCCAGGCCAAGAAGGTCCTCCCCACCTCGCACCCAGCACCCACCCTGGGTCTGAGTTCCCGGAGGAGGCATGCTTTGGTGACTGAAATCTGGGGAATGAGGAAAGCTCTGCCCCCCCACTCTCCCGGCCCACCACACACACCACTAGCTTCCACCACAGCCTCGTCCACGTGGAGCCCACCTGGGTCTCAGACCTCCCCCACCCCCAAAGACTGGGCCGGGAGCCAGTCTAGCCGCCGCCTTCCTGGAAGCCAGGAGCCTCCCCTCCAGGCTTGGTTACCTGCAATAGTCATGTATGTCTCCCAGATGGCTGGGATGACAGCACACACTGCTGTACCAGGCTTATGGATTGAGATGGGGTCTCACTAAGTTGTTGTCCACCCCCCCCTCCCCAGGCTGACTGGAACTGCAATCCTCCTGATCTCTGTCCCGAGTTGCTGAGATTACAGGTGCACACACCCTGTCCCACAGCTCCAGTCCACTCACCTGGGGGCCCGGGGGGCCCACGGGGCCCTGGGATGCCCGCCAGCACCGTGTCCACCAGGGCAGGCACCAGCTGCGCGTCCCCGTCTGTGGGCAGCAGGGCGTGAGGCCTCTGGGGCCCCGCCCCCACCGGCGCCGGCTCAGGGGCCGCCCCACCCCCTCCCACGGCCACCTTGCCAGATGGGGAAACTGGGACTGGGAGGGAGGTGTGATCCGGGCTCAGGTCTCAGCACTCAGAGGTGGTCCCCGCTGCCCACGGGGGGGGGGGGTCTGTCCATGGTGGGGGACGAGGGGGGCGGGTCCCCCACAGGGAGCCGGGGCCACTCACTGTCTTTGTCTGGGGGGGGCTGCAGGGAGTAGAGGGCTCCTTGCGGGCTGCTGGGCAGAACTCCAGGGCTGCCTGCTGGGCCGGGAGGTCCTGGGGGGCCGGGGCGCCCCATCTCTCCTGGAAGCCCTCGGGGCCCCGGGGGTCCTAGGAGCCCTGAAATGAGGAGAGGCATCTCCGAGGTGGGGGCCAGGCACAGCACAGGAGGGGAAACTGAGGGCCTGCTCTTAGGCCGATCAGAGGCCGTGCAGACTGTGCGGGCTGGGCTGCAGGGAGGGGAGGCAGAGCTCTTCCCGGGAGGCGCTGGGGTGGCGTGCTTACCAGGAGGCCCCGCGGGGCCCTTCTCTCCTGCCTGGCCCCGATCACCTTTGGAGCCTGGGGGTCCTGCAGGCCCGGGGGGCCCTGGAAAGAGGAAGAGGTCACCTGAGAACTGATCTGACTGGAAGCCAGGCTCCCCAGCGCCCCCCCCCACCTCTGCTCCAAAGTGCATTTCACATGTGGGAAACTGAGGCTCAGAAAATCCAGGTCTCCCGCTCAAGGCTGCAGAGCCAGGGCCCCCCTCCCCTCAATTGCGACCCCAAGGCCTCCAAGTTTTGGGACATCTGCCAGGCCAGGGGGTCTGGGACGCTTCCTGCCCAGCCAGGGGTCACCCTGAGCCACAAGGACTTGGCTGGGGGAGCCCCTACCCCTCAAATTCCCGCCTGAGAGGGGTGCGCCACCTGGTGTCCATGCCTGGAACTGCGCCTCCCTGGCAAAGTGTCAAGGCCAGGGTCCTCAGGGCCCCCCTCCAGGCTCTGAGGGGTGGGGCTTGGGCTGTGGCCCAAGCTCTGCTGTGTGCACTGGCCTCTGCCAACTGTCACCGATGACCTACACTGTCACCCCTATCTGCCCCGCATACAGGCCTAGTGTTTTCATCTTTGACATAATTGAGATGCTGGATGCGTCGCCTTCATAACCACAATTTCTTTTTTGGTGGGTTGTGGGGCTTGAACTCAGGGCCCCCGCGCTGTCCCTGAGCTCTTGTGCTCAAGGCTACTGCTCTACTACTTTGAGCCACAGCGCCAACTTCGGTTTCTGGTGGTTCATTGGAGATGAGTCTCATGGACTTTTCTGCCTGGGCTGGCTTCGAACCTCAGTCCTCAGACCTCAGCTGCCTGAGCAGCTGGGATTGCAGGCGTGAGCCACCAGAGGTCTGGCTGAAGTTTTGTGTTTTCTTGTTGTTTTGTTGTTTTTTAATGAAGAAAAATGGGACACTCCTGCTTTTCTGTGAAATTCCCTAGGTTTTTCTTCTTCTTTTTATTTTTGGTTGGTTGTGGGATCTGAACTCTGGGCCTGGGTGCTGTCCCTCAGCTCTGCAGCTCAAGGCTAGTGCTCTACCACTTGAGCCACAGCGCCACTTCTGGCTTTTTCTGCTTATGTGGTGCTGAGGAATCGAACCCAGGGCCTCAGGCATGCAAGGCAAGCGCTCTACCACTGAGCCACCTTCCCAGCTTCTTCTTTTTTGTGTTAGCTCGGTTTCCAAATACCCCATAGGTTTCTATCTCTGGAGGGCCTCGTGTGTGTGTGTGTGTGTGTGTGTGTGTGTGCGTGCGCGCGCATACATGTGCGCATGTGCGCGTGCAGCCCAGGCCCTGTGGCTGGCCCCTCCATCCCGGGGCCCCACTCACCCTCGGGGCCGGTGGGTCTTCTCCTCCAGGGCCCGGGGTGGGCGAGGGGGATGGCGTCCGGGAGGAGGTCCTCATTCCAGGGTGGCGGGCTGCTGCGGGGGGCCGGCAGGTGGTTGTCGGGGCTGGAGGGCTGCACGGGGGTCTCCAGCAGGAGCACCTGGGGGAGGATGGAGCGTCGGGCCTGGCTGGCGGCTGCACAGGGGGATGCGGCCCCGCGAGCCCCCCATCCTCGCCCCGTCACCCTGCACTCTCCCCGGGACCCCCAACTCGAGCCATTGGATGCCACCCATCACGGACAGACCACCTCAGGCGGTCCTAGCAGCTCCCTGATGTTGGCAGTGTGTCCCCTGCTCTGTCTGGGGATCTGACCGTGGTGGGGGGGGACAGCTGGGGTGGGAAGAGGGTGACACGATTGGTAAAACAGAAAAGTGGGGCCCTGGCCTCCCAGGATTCATCCTCCCAACTCAGAAGAGATAAAGACAAAGCTGGGGTCCCTGGCCCCCCTCCCTTTCCAGCTTTCTTCAGGGAGCCCGTGGAGGAAGGGAGGGGATCCCGCGGCCCAGAGCCTCCCTTCAGCCCCTCTGGCCCCTAAGTTCCCTGGGCTTGCTCCCCCCCCCGCCCCCGACGTCTGGATGAAAGCTGGGGGCCCCCACCCCCGGCCTGGCCAGGCCAGGCAGTTGGTACAGGAGCCACAGCTGTGCCCACACCCCCCCTGGCACGCCGCCCCGTGCTCCACCACCCCTACCCGCACCCAGAGCGCCTACTGAGAGCCTTTTCACTCAAAGCGAGCGCTCTACCACTTCAGGCACAGCGCCACTTCTGGTTCTCTGGTGGTTAATTGGAGTTGAGAATCTCACAGACTTTCCTGTGCAGGCTGGCTTTGAACTGCAATCCTCAGATCTCAGCCTCCTGAATAGCTGGGATTACAGGCGTGAGCACCGGCGCCTGGCAACCATGTTTCTTGCTCTTTGAGTCTCTCTGTCTCAGGAACCCCACTGAGCTTGAGAAGGTGGCCCAAAGCCTCAGAAGTCGAGGCCACTCTGACCCACTGGGCTCCACAGAGTTCATGTGCCCCACCCCGCCCCCAGAGCTGACCTTGGCCTCCAGTGTGGTCAGACGCTCGCTCATGTCACTGAGCCGGGTGCAGTTCATACATTCTGCAAGAGAAGGAAAACCAAGGTGAGGACAGCCTAGGAATAGGGATGGCCACTGGACAAGGCTCTGCCTGACCAGGTATGAGGAAAACTCCTATTCAGGGCCGGGAAGGTGGCTCAGTGGTAGAGCACTTGCCTTGTATGCATGAGGCCCTGGGTTCGATTCCTCAGCACCACATAAGCAGAAAAAAGCTGGAAGTGGTGCTGTGGCTCAGGTGGTAGAGCGCTAGCCTTGAGCTGAAGAGCTGAGGGACAGCGCCCAGGCCCAGAGTTTGGGCCCCCCCCCCAAAAAAAAGAGACAGAGGCAAAAGCATGAGACCCTATATCACAAAGAAGCAAAAGGCCTGGGGTGCGTGGCTCAGATGGTGGAGGGCCTGCCCAGCAAGCAAGGAGCCTGGGCTCCGATCTCCAGTACCACTGAACCCCAAAACAGCAACAGACTAGAAACAATACTGGGCAGCCTGCTGGCCACCAGGAGAATCCTCAGTGGTTCCCAGGTACAGCGAGGAGTGAATTTTGGACTGGGGGGGGCACAGGCTGGGGGGGGCTGGGCAACATGCGAGGGGTGGGGGAGAATGTCAGCCTAGGAATCTCAGTGCGTGACCACGCACCTGCCCAGTGCCATCCTGCCAAATTCCAGCAACATCTGAAACCATCTAAGTGAGGCTGGGGAGCCTTTGCATGCCCCCTCAGAACCCCAAGTTGCAGTGTTACCCAAGGGACCCCTCCGGCTTGTTGGCTTAAGGGATTTGTCTCAGTACCCTGGGACCCCAGATGCTGCTCCTCCACCACCTCCCAGGTTGGGCCCATGGATCCTGGCCTGGTCCACACACACCCCCCTCCCTGCGTCTGTACGACCCTGTAACTTACTCATGGTTTTGGGGGGGCTCCCCTCTGTACCCCCTCAAGCTGGAGCCACTGCCTCCCCCCAGGGGGGCAGCTGGGAGGGGTTTGTTTCTGTATTCCCCCCCCCCCCCCGATCTTGGATTCCTGTGGTTCGCTCTACATGGCTCCCAGCACGGGCATTGCCAGGCTCCTGCCCTGCAGCTGGGGTCCGGCGCGGCTGCAAGGGTTGGGGTTCCAGGAGATGCCCCACCGGAGCCACAGAGGCCAGCTTCTAGAAGCAGCAGGGGGGACTCAGAGCCCTGGCAGCAGACAATTGGGCTGACTCGCCAAATACTTCCCCTCGGTGCCCTGAGCGAGCCTGTCCGGGCTGTCCACACTCAGGGACCCGGGCCTGGTGAGGGGCCCTAAATTAACCTGACTGGTGGTGAGGTGGGGGGGGGGGAAGGGCCTCTCCTGCCTATGGCACTGTGGGCCGGGGCCTCCCTGTCCATCTCTGGGCTTTTTCTTCTTCTTTTTTTTTTTTTTTGGGTCTGGTTGTGGGCCTGAACTCTGGGCCTGGGCGCTGTCCCTCAGCTCTTCAGCTCAAGGCTAGCGCTCTACCACTTGAGCCACAGCACCACTTCTGGCTTTTTTTCTTTTTGCTTATGTGGTGCTGAGGAATCGAACCCAGGGCCTCAGGCATGCAAGGCAAGTGCTCTACCACTGAGCCACCTTCCCAGCCCCATCTCTGGGCTTTTGAGCCTCAGTTTCCCCATCTGGAGGAGAAGGTGTTTGGCCTATAAGAAAGTCCCCTCCATTTCCAACAGGCCCTGTGAGGGCATGGAAACAAAGCTGGGGGTGGGGGGCAGGGATCTTCTGCTGGATCTAGAAGTTTCTCTAAGTTTTCTTTTGTTTTTAATTTTTTAAAAAAAAATGTGCTTGTCCTAAGTCTTGAACTCTGGGCGCTGTCCCTCAGCTCTTCAGCTCAGGGCGAGCACTCTACCACTTGAGCCACAGAGCCACTTCCTGTTTTCTGGTGGTTCATTGGAGATAAGAGTCTCAAGGACTTTCCTGTTCAGGCTGGCTTTGAACTGTGATCCTCAGTCTCAGCCTCCTGAGTAGCTAAGATTAGAGGTGTGAGCAACTGGTGCCTGGCATGTCCCTGAGCTTTTGTGCTCAAGGCTAGTGCTCTACCACTTGAGCCACCGCTCCGACACAGACCTCCTCCTCCTCTGGAGAGGGCAGAGTGACCAGGAGCTGGGTCAAGGCCTCTCCCTGCTGTGCAGCTGTGTGACCCAGGCTGGGCCGCAAGACTTCTCCTGCCTCGGTTTCCCCAAATGTGAGGTGGGGGGGATGAGCTAGATTCCATCCCATCCCCCCCCCCCCCCCCCCCCCCGCACTGAGGCCAGCCCAGCCCCCACCTCATGCTCACATGATCTAGCTGAGCCAATGAGAATCCTGCCCTGGGTCCCAGGCACAGGCCCTGCCTTCACTCACGAAGCACCTGAACAGGGATCAAGCCTCAACAGGGACCGGCTAGGATGAAGTTCCGGAAGAATCTGCATCCCAGTGGGAAATGATCACAGATGTCACCATACAGTAAACTACGCAGTGCAGCAGAATAAAGAAGCAGGGTGCAGCAGGGTGCCGGGGGGAGGGTGGGGGAGGGAGGGCTACACCGAGGAGGGAAGAGGGGTCCTGCATTGGCAGGTGGAGGAAGAGGGGAGGGGCAAGGGACGGTGGGAGAGTGAACCAAAGGACAAAAGGGAAAGGAAGAAGATTCTAGAAGTTTCTCAGGGTGGGTGGGAGCCGCAGAGGCGTGAGGCCTCACATACCTGAAAATAAACCCAGCTGCTCCCCAGTGCGCTGTGCATTTCAAAATAAGGGGGGAAGTGGGGAGCACTGGCAACCTCCATCTACTCCCCATGAGTCCTGACGGCCCTGCTCCACTCCAAACCTGGGCTCCCACAGCCACGGGGGCTCAGGAGGAAGCCAGGACACGGAAGATATAGTTGGGACCACCGGGACCTGCGTCCACCCCAAGGCCAGGCAAGGGCGGGGCCCCACACCTCCTGCCCCCCACGCTCGCTCGCTTTCTGCATCTATCTGTCGTTCACTGTCTCTGTCTTGATTCGATCTCTGTCTCATCTCTGTCTGTCTCTCTGCATATGTCTGTCTGTCTGTCTCTCTGCATGTCTGTCTGTCTCTGTTTCTCTTCCCCCGTCCCCCAATGCCTGGGGCTTGAACTCAGGGCCTGGGCACTGTCCCTGAACTCCTTTTGCTCAAAGCTAGCACTGGACCGCTTGAGCCACAGCTCCACTTCCAGCTTTTTCTGCGTATGTGGTGCTGAGGAATCGAACCCAGGGCCTCATGCATGCAAGGCAAGCGCTCTACCACTGAGCCACCTTCCCAGCCCCCACTTCCAATTTTTTGAGTGGGGTCTCAAGGACTTTCCTGCCCAGGCTGGCTTTGAATGGTGATCCTCAGATCTCAGCCTCCTGAGTAGCTAGGAATAGAGACATGAGCCACTGGTGCCTGGCTTTTTTTATTTTTTTCTTTTGAATATGGCATTTGTGTGTGTGTGTGTGTGTGTGTGTGTGTGTGTGCACACAATGTGTGCCAGTCCTAGGGCTTGTACTCAGGGCCTGGGTGCCGCTCCTGGGCTTTTTGTCAGTTGTGGGGCTTGAACTCTGGGCCTGGGTGCTGTCCCTTAGCTCTTCAGCTCAAGGAGAGCGCTCTACCACTTGAGCCCTGCACCACTTCCTGTTTTCTGGTGTTTCATTGAGATGAGTCTCACAGACTTTCTTGCTCAGGCTGGCTTTGAACCATGACTCTCAGATCTCAGCCTCCTGAGTAGCTAGGATTACAGGCCTGAGCCACAGGTGCCCAGCCTTTGTGTGAGACTTTTGAAGGCCGGGACTGACAGCTTTGGAACCCTCAGAGTCCCCAGCCTCCCACACTCCCGCGTGTATTTTCGCGTCCACTGAGCTCCACCCCCAGAGACACCCTGACAATTTAAAGAGCTTGTTTTGGGGAGCAGGGGAAATTGAGTCAAGGTGCCCTGGAAGGTTGGGAAGCGGTGGGCATGGCTGGGGCCAGCGTTGGGGCTGCATGGGGTGGGTGACATCGCAGTGCTGCGTGCCGGTGATGATGCGGGGCTCAGGGCTTGTTTGGGGGGGACCTGATGGCTTCACATTCGTGGCAGACGGCATGGGGCCTCTTCAACACAATCCTCCCTCCCCCTCCCATCGCTGTTCTCGGGACCAGAATACTCTCAGGTCAATTACTTTATGAAACCCCAGCAGTAACTCGGGGTGTCTTTGCAGAAAGCAAGTTGGAAGCAGCAGGCAGGGGGGCCCCGGGTGTGTTGGGCACAGTACAACCATGTCCCAAACTCAGCCAAGGCCACACTCACCGCCTGCAGAGCTCCGGCCACTGACAGGGCGGCTGAGGCCCCGTCATGTGGGAGCCAGGGGACAAGCCCAGTCAGGTGATCCAGGCCCCCCAGCCTGGACTAAATCCATACCCTCCACCACTGGGCAAACCTGCAGAGTACAGGCAGGCTGACAGCACCCAATAGCCACCTCTGGGGAGTGGGGTGCACAACCAGAGCCTGGGGCAGAAGGAAGAGGCATTGGAGGGGGTCAGAACTCCAGCTCAAACCTCAAAGGGACTGTCCATTTTCATTATGAACGGAGGCTTGGCATCAACAGTAAGGCTAGAGAATTGGAACGGACCCTACTGTGCTACAAATTCTTTCTTGTTGTTTTTGAATTTTTTTTTTTTTGTGCTGGTTGGGGGCTTGAACTCAGGGCCTGGGTGCTGTCCCTGAGGTTTTTCAAAGTCAAGGCTAATGCTCTACCACTTTGAGCTACAGCGCCACTTCCGGTTTTTTGGTGATCAATTGGAGATAAGAGTTTCACAGGGACTTTTCTGCCAGGGCTACCTTCGAACCGGGATCCCCAGACTTCAGCCTCTCGAGTAGCTTGGATGGCAGGCATGCACCCCAGCACTCAGCTTCTATTTTCTTATTAGTTAGGGTAGATAATCGTCTCAGGCTAACTTTCAGTCACGCATATAGAAATAACACATAGCACATGTCGCTGTGGTGCAGTCTGTGGTTTTAGGTGTCCACTGAGGGGGAGGTGTTTTGAATGTGTTCTCTACATGTACAGAGG